TACCATAATTTGGTAAATTTTGGGTATAAAACAATTCATTATCTACTTAAGTTTTGTAATTCAGATTAAGAAGGATGCAAATCATGTTAGAGATAGCCTGTAGAATTAGTATTTGGAAAGCAGGTTGTATCTGTATCAGTCTGTCTGATTGATTCCATTGAACTGGAAAGATTATCTGAAAAATTAAATTCTAAAATCTATCCATATTTTCCAAAATAGATCAGCAAACACTTATTTAATACCTTATAATATTAAAGCTGCTTGATCAAAATTGTTAAATAGATTGAAAGAGATAAAAATCAATGCCATAAGTTCTCAATCTCTATCAAAACTATTTCCCTGTTTTATTATAGCATATTTATGTGAGTACACGCTGTGTTTTAAGCCCAGCTGGTAATTCAGCACCACACAGCTGTTGCTTGCCCTTTCCCCCCACCCTGTATGGGTTAGGGAAGACTATTGAAAGAGTGTACTGACTAAACATGAATGACTATAAGACTTTTTCAATCCCATGATAATTACCTGATTTGTGACAATTGCTCAATTTCATTTTCACAGTGAATGTTCAGCAAAAATCATATTTCTACAATCTTACATTAATTATGAAAAGTCATTTTTGGTTGATTTGACCATGAAGATTTTTGGTTTCTGTTTTCCTCTTACTATTTGACTTTTGAAAAAAGGAAGTGTGTGCACATATTAGTGTGCTTTGAAAACCCAAGCACATACGCAGAGCAAACATAAACCTTCAGCTTTGACACAGCGTCTTTTGTTTGCAATAAGGGAAGTCCCAATGTTATCTAATCCTCTCTGACAACTAAAGCATTTATTATAAACTAGAAGCTTCCTCTTCATTCTGGGAATGCATTAATAGTTGTTTGTTGTTCTTACTGGAAAGAGAATTCTGGAACTGGTTTATGAGTGTTTTTTTCTGGTTTTGTGACTGCTTTATAGCTTTATTTTTGTGTATAGCTGAATAAGTAAATTTACCATTTATAAATGGCATGCCTATTACTAAATAATTTAAAGCTTTTGAAAATATGAGCTGAATTAATAGTACTAGTTACCTTCACGTCTGGCACCAGTTCCCATGACCTGTGTGCCTCTCTTCTGAACTGCAAGGACAAAACTGGATGGGTAATTTTGATCCCTACTCATCAAATTCCTGATTTTTTTTAAAATCAAAACCCAAATTCCACTGTTAATTTAGGTGGTGAAATCTGCAACTGGCGAGGAGATTTGTTTCACACTATGACTTCGAAGGAAGGAAGTTACTAAAATTATGTGCCACTGCTTAATAATTCCCAGGAATAATGACTGCTCAGCTCATATTTTCTCACTGTGGTTCTTTATCTGGAAAGGATTCTTGCCTCACAACCATTCCCATTATCTCTTCTTCTTTCCTAGGGGGATTTGATTTAGAGTATACTGGAAAGCATTTTATTCACTGTAGTAAGAATAGAGAATGTTGAACCTTTAATTTTTTGTTTGTACCGTCCTTCTCATCTTGTCAGATTTTCTGAGTTTTAACAGAGCCCTTCAGTATCTGATCATGCTTGATACCTTTAGAGAGGTTCCCTAGTGCTTTTGGATTATTGTGATGGTGTTCATAGAGGTTGCTGTCCCCTCCTGTATGATATAACGAGAGGTCACAGACACTGCTACTGCTATTGCAGTGGGCTCTGATTATGGTTTATGGCAGTCCCTGTAAATGTCAGGAGGACTTCCAGAGAATCAGATATGCACTGGAGCATGGTATAGTAGGTATTGGTTGGCTACACCTCTTAGCGCTTCTGGTGATGAAGGCAGCTTCAGGTTAACTGTAGTCACTGATCTGCTGTTCGATTTGCAGTCTTTACATTCACAGAATGATTTTACACATATATAACTGTGCATATTAAATATCAAATGTGACCAATTCACAAACTACAAACAGTAGGTGTGCTACAGTACAATGTAACTACAAAACTAATCCTTCTAGTCCCAGGGAACTGTTATTACCATACAGCCCTGTAATGTTATGTCTCCAGTCCGTGTAGCAGGCTACAAGCTTTGTACTGAGTTTGCAGGGCCTCAGGGCTGAGGTTTTTCAACTTGCTCTATTTGAACTTTTCTTGACCTGCCTGCAGCCTGGTGTTATTGGACTTGTGTCTGGCAGCAGTTTTGCTAAGTGAGAAGTTTTCTATGGCTCTTTTCTTTTACTTCTGTTACCTTTTCATGAGGCTCAGAGGAACCTGGTCTATGGAAGATGTCCCCTGCCTGTGGCAGAAGGGTTGGAACTGGGTGATATTTAAGGTCCCTCTACCAACCTAAACCATTCTATGATTAACACGATTATGTGGTGTAGACACATGCAGGCTTGTTATGATTGACAGCAAAAAATTCTTAGTTTTATTTATAAGCTCTGTTTCCCTTTTGGCCATAAACAGCACTTTAAGTGTATATGTCATTAAGCATAGTTTAATTTCTCCTTCAGCATACTGAGGGTAAATGCACCCGTTTATACAGTTCTGTTGAGGTACTTGTTTAAAAACAGGTGAGATGTGTGGCAAAGTCAGATATGGTTATCCAAAGCTGCTTTCCTGTGCTCCGGAAGCCTCAGGAAGGATGCAGTTGTACTTTGTGCAAGCTGCATTTATTTTCCAATACAGAAAATGTTTCCATATTCCATTTCCATATGGAAAATGGAACTAGTGTCAGTAAGTCATGCATTGTGGACACTCAGACTTGCCTCTAATGTCAGATTCAGCAATAAAGTGCAACTAAAACTCTGTATCAGTAACAGAGCAGGGTGTGTATTAAGGTTGATATAGACATCAATCATGAAGTCAGCAGGCCAACAACAGGAACAAAGGTGAGAAGATGAATTTTTTCACAGAAAATAATACATAATTTTCAACTACAACTAGTAGTTTCACATGTGTAAATTCAGTAGTAAATTTGCAGGTAAGTGTATAAATGATGTTCAGATCATATAGCAGAACACAGTAAAGCATTCCAGCTATTGCATTCCAAATTTAGCTCTGTCTTTTGTTTTGAAAGTTACCCAGCACTCAGAGAATTGGAATAGCAGTTGGTGCTGTCATTCTGACTGAATGGTGTTCCATTCTGTTCTGTATATCAGGGGCATCAGGCAGATTTGAAAGCCCAAGGGAAGTGAGGCTGCCACAGCCTCTTGTCCGCAGATCCAACAAGTATAAGCTGAGCATGTATTCCCCTTAGGCACACACACATACAGAACTCATGTATACATCGCATTGCATACATACATATATATATATAAGGCCAACCAAACAGATGACACAGACAGACACACAGAGTACTTGCCCAAACAGCACCAACAGCTTCATCCTCTTCCTCTGGCTGAGCAGGACAGAAGTCTGCTGGTGGCAGTGTATTTACCTGTGTACACACTGGATTCCTCCTGCCACTGTGCTCAGCCATTCAGACTGCGCAGTAGCTGCACCTGGATCTCTCTCCTTGCCTAGCTTGCAGACACATGGGTCCATGAGATCTGCAGCCCCTCTCCAGTTGCTGTACTCACACCTGCCTTGTGTGCATAAACATCCCCTCCTCCACCAAAGCTCTCTTGTTCCCCAGGTACCAAACCCTCATGGTCTCTGCCTTAGAGGATATACACACCCACAGCTCCAAGGGGTCTCTCCCCTAGAGGCTCCCCAGGCCCCATGATCTCTTCAGCAGCTGCCTGTGACTCCCTTGGTCTGCACAATAGGGTTCCATCTCCTCTTGTATTCTTGCCTACAGAGACCACCATCACCCTATATACCAGCTATTTACCCCAGGCCACCACACACATGTACCAGCTCGTCCAGCTGGATCTCTGCTCACACTCACATACCCTGTTGATCCAGACTTAGAGAATAAAGGCCTTTGATCCCCATGTCCCACATGCCAGGGGCTGGTGCTTGGTGTCACCCAGGCCTCCACAGCTGGCAGCATCAGGCACCGGGTCCCTCTGGCCCGTGCTCCCACTCCAGCTGCTGCCACCACAGACACAAGGGCTTCTACAGCTGAGGTTTTGCTCCAGTTGCTGGCACTGAAGTCCACTCACTTCAGTGTCTAGTTGCTGCACCATGGACAAATGGGTCCTGTGACCCATGGCTTAATGCCAGCTTCTGGCAGATGCCAGTATCTCCTCCCCCCCCCCCAACCGATAAAAGAAGAAAAAAGAGTCACCCATGAAAACAGAAAGCAATTTAACAAGAAGAGAGGATAGATTGCACTAACTGGGCACAGGGCATGGCCAAGTGTGTCAACCAGCAACTATCTACAACTGGTCCTTTTTATCCACTTATCCCTCTATTGCCTCAAACTTGTTCCTCCCAAAATCACTTAGATCTGTCTCTTTCCCTTTGGAACCTTTGGTTCCTCCCTAAGCATCTCAGATTTCCAGCCTCTTGACACACATCTTCCTCCACTAAAGTAGATCTCATCATGCAAGCCAAGGGTAGCACATGTTTTCACACGACACAAGCTTTCTTTATAAAACAAAAGTGAAACAAAAATTCCTGAGAAGGAAAGCAGTCATTAGGCTTCGGTTTTGTTTCCCGAAAGCCAGCTTCTTTCGGGAGTAGTGTCCCGGGACAGCTGCCTGCCCCGCTGGGCTCAACCGTCGGTGAACGCGCGGCCGGCAGCAGGGCGCCGCACCAGTTCCCGGCGCTGCAGCAGCCTACAAATCCGCAGAGGAGGCGGTGGCGGAAAGCCCTGCTCGGCGTCCACTGCACCGGGTCAACGGTGGCGGCGGAGCGAGCTGAGACGGGGCTGCAGCTCCACAGGGCTCCATCGGCCGCCGGCAGGGGCCGCCGCTGGGAGCAGCCGCCAGGAGCTGCGGTCCGCAGCGCCCCGGGGGTCCGCCAGGTAGGGGGAGCCGGGCTGGGGGCCAGCCGGGAGGGTCTCTGCCCACCACCCCCCGAGTCCCCGTCTCCGGGAGCGAGTGCTTCCCCCCCAGGGGACAAGGAGGCAACCCGCGCCGAGCTCACCTGGCGAGGTGCTGCGGGCGGCAGGACCCTGTCCCGGTTCCGCAAGCAGCTGCTTCGGCCGTGAGGGCCCGCGGCTCAACAGCGGTCGGAGGCCCTCCAGGAGCCTGCTCCCTGAGCGCTGCCCCAAGCATTTTGCTTAAGAGCAGCCGGTGCCAGGCGGGACGGACGTTTTGGCTGGGAAATCTGTTGCAGAAGAGAGGTAAAACAAACAAAACGTGTGCACAGACGTGTGTGTGTACACATAGAAAAGCCCCACCAGGAACAGAAGAAAATCAACCAAACCAATAATCTATCCTGATCTTTTATTTTCTACTGAATGCTTACATGTAAAGAGTAACCCTGTGACCTCAGGCAAGCAATTAAAAAGAGGAAACTCAATTCACGGCATCGAAAGCTAGCTACATCAGTGGCTTCTGTGGTCTCACAGTCACTATTACAAACTTATTTCAGTTTCCTTTTGTTGTTCTTTTTTACTGAGGAAAATATCACTAAACCTGTTTTTAAGCACAAAAGAAATCAGTGGAAATTAACGTTTCATTAGCGTTACCTATTGCAAAAATCCACCCCCTCAACCTGCTAAGGTAGTTTCAGATTATTAGAACCTAAATGCTACATTCAGCAGCTTCATATACCACTGTCTCCATGTTACTCCCACGTACTGAGCAAAAAGGTTAACTCTTACCAATTTTGTGCATTACGTGTTTTTGCTTCCATGACAGGTACTGTGAGTGGGCTGCCAAGTGCAAAGAAGAAATTACTTCCTGAACACTTTTAAGTGTTCATTTCACAGTATTTCAGCTCTTCTGAGAATGTCAACCCTTTTTTGAGATCTGCGAAGACAATGTAAGTTGGTGAACTTACACTGAAACATGTTTAAAGTTGTATTTTGTGCTGTTGAGTAGGTTATGCCACTGTAGTCCTCAAGTTAATGTAAGTATATCCTTTGGCTTTTAATATTTGAGGGGTTTTTTTCTGTATTCTGGAATGGCTTCTAGAATTAAGAAAAAGAGAGTGCTCTTTATTTTTTGCTGAGCTAATGCGTAGGCTTAACAACCCCTCTTGCACTACACAGCAGCAGGGGAAGGGGCTTTCATTGTGCTAAAATCTTGGGGAGATAATGTCATTCTTACTGTAGAAGGGTGGGTAATACTCTTGCCATTATTCCTACCTATGGCCTTTGCAGACATTAGTCAATTGTGTAGATATTTTTAGTCACTGTTAGCACCTGTTTGTCACTGGCTGAGATTAATACTGAAGGGACCCTGAGTTTGTGTAGATGGGTGACTTCTTGCTACTGGTGTTCCAAGGACTGTTGCTCACATATATCTTTGATCAGATGACGTGTTTCTTAAAACGCCTGTGACATTTTATGTACTGATTTTCCCAACATTTCTGTCTCAGGTTAAAGCAAACCACTGTTAGCAATAAAGAATTTTCCGTCGTGGGGAATTTTCCAGTAATGGGGAAGTGTCCTGAAGAAGTGGGTGGAGTTATATCAACATTTAAATTCTGTCACAAGAAGTTTTGGGGCAAATAGTTCTGGTTTTCTTGCCTTCTTCATTTTATTGTGAGGTAAACATACAGCAGCAATACTGAAAAACATTTTTTCCCAGTGAATATCTTTTTGCTTTTATAGAACCGTATTTGCCATAGATGTCAGAAGGTGGCAGAAGAGAAGGGACGTTGAGGTAGGTTCTGTATAAAAAATGATGAGAAAATTGCAGCTTTGGAAAAGGTCTTTGATTGGCATCTACATCTTGACCTGCTTCAACCAGTCCAGCCAAGGAATCCTTCTGCTCGGGGTGAAACAGAAGGGTCTATAATGATTATTACAGCAGGTTTCTTCATGCGCATCTGGATTTGAGCTGGACCTACTATTTTTCTCTCTGAAAATGAAAAATTGAGTACAGCAGCCGACTTTCTCAGTCTTGAGGATTTTTGTAAGTAATAGCCATACTTCTTTTGTGTGTAGTAAGGCATGTTTTTCTCTACAGTGGAAGAAAGCACACAAATTAAAGTTAGGCAATTGCAGGATAAAAGCATGGATCTTAGCAACTGTAAAACCTTACTTGTTGTCATGTATCTTCCAGGAGTTAATCAGAACCTCTCTTGGAGTTCATACCGACATTCAGATTTCCTGACAGAAAAGGTGTAGGGGTTGCATGCATGGTTGTGGGTATTTTCCTGTGATTGTAGTGCACATGCTGTTTGTTCTGAGCAGTCTCTCAGCTACAGCCTCTACTTCAAAAAAATTAGTATTTTGGGCCTGAGCATGCTAAAACTCTGATCTTTCTTTCGTGGGGAGCACAGGGAAGTATGCACCTACACCCATTAGTTTCAGTGGCTTGCTCTTCTGCAGGCTTGCCTCTAGAGTAAGGATGATGAGAACATATTTGTGAGATAAGTATGCCTCTGCTTTGTTTGAGAAGTTTTACTTTGGTGCTTGGTTGGTGCTGTGGACTGCTTGTTACTCAGACTGGAATCATGATGGAGGCACTCTCATGTGTACATATGTCCGGAAACCCTCAGGTACCCACAGGATTAGGCAGCAGCTTGCTAGTGCTTTTAAAAACATCACTTGTGACTAAGAAGTGAATTGGATATCTAACCACATTAAGAAGCCTGTGATTTATTTATCAATGAAACAAATCTTTCACTGTGAGGATCTTATTTGCATTTTTCTGTCCCTGTTAGCAGAACACCTTTTTTAATTGCTCATGCCTGCATAAAAACTGTATTAGATTTACTCCCTTTCTTAGCTCTTTGTATTGCCTTCTGCAAACCTACTGGGATCAGGCAGCAGCAACCTGAGGATAAAAGTAGCTTGAATCAAATTCTTATGCAGAGGCCAATTCCCTTAAACCACAACAGTACAAAGGTACATGTGTCTTACGATTCAGGACCGTATTGCTACTTTATTATCATCTTGAAGTTGACAATCAGAGAAAGAAAGACAAAATGTTGTACAAAAAATGGTTAGAGTCACAGTCCAGGTAGAATTTTATCAGTTAGGAAGTATAACTGTTATTACAGTTGCCTAATTTCATATGCAGTGATGAAACTATGGCTAGAAAACAGTTGAAGGCAATGTTTCCTTATTGTTGTGGTTGTTTGGGTACCCAAAATGAGGACTTCATGTAGGTAAAGTTCTACGGGTGCCTGCCACAGAAGGTTTCCATTACAGCAAGTTTGAATTTTTCTTGACAGTAAATTGAAAAATGATGGCAGTGTTTGATACTAGTATTGCTCTGACTTTAAATACACACTTAGCAAGTGCAGTGGGCGTACGAAGGTTAACTATATGAATTGACATTAGTCAGTGTTTTTAGTCAGTGTTTTACAATGTTAAAGTGTTGTGTAGGAGTATAAAATAATGTGTCAATAAAGAGGGGAAAAACTTCTGACAGAAAACTGAAATAATTTACATATTCAGAGGTAAAGCAGCAGGAATTCAAGAAAACAGATTTTGTTTCTAGGCTGACTTTGTCACTTACAAAGGCACTATTGTGTAAATACTCATTAAGTAATTCATTACCACATGAATTCTGTTCACAACACATGACTTCATGAGCCATGTGATAAGTACTAGGAAACCAGGGGTTATGAAATGCATTGACATGCTAAAGTGAGGCAAACAGACGGAGAAGAATTAAGTTCTATTTCTTCCATTGAATGCATACAGAAAACTCCTCCATTCAATATTCCCTACTAGTTTAGGGGAATAATTGGACATTTGTGAGTACTTATTTACTGACAGATGCATGTATTTTGCCAGAACCAAGTGCATAAAATTAGTTTTTCTTCCTGCATGTACCCACACAGGAAACTTTCTGCCTGATAATCTGCTGTAGTTAAAGGTGCAATTTTGTCATGTTTTCAGCTGGAATTCAGTACCTTTTGTCCAGCTCCTTGTGTTGAATGACAGAAAAGTTTATTTTGCAGTGCAAGTTACAAAATGATCAGATATTTATATTTGTCTATTTTATCGTTTTAGGTTCTACCTACATCATGGAAAAGCTTTTGCTTTTGTATATATTATTCTACTGGCGTTTCCTAAATGGTAAGAGGTTGAGACATAAGAAGCAGTAGAACTCTTTAAGTATGTTTCCTTTCCATGTATAAGCACAGAAATTTTAATTCCTCAGTTTTCCTTCAGATGCCAGCATTTTTTTTATTTTTTTCTTAATGTTTAAAATAAGAAGGTTTTAGCATGCTTTTACATTAAACTATGTATGTGTGCTTAATACATGTGCTTTGGTACAGGACCAGGTTGAAATCCCCATTGGTGATTCTCATAGACACTATTTCTGGCAAGGTACCATTTGCATTACACAAAGGTTTTATTGGCACTCTCAAACCTGAGAATTGTCACGTGTTCTTTAACATTGTGTGTAAAAACAGTTGACATTTATATGACCAGAACATTCCCATCTGAGGCACTAGCAATTGGCTGTTACAGTGTCCTGAAAACAACAGCTGAGGGGCTGCGCAGGCACAGTCACCTACTTTTAGTACAGCATCTCAGTGCTTTGTGTGCAAAGCGGGTGTCTGCAGGTATAAATAGCCTATTTCATATCAGTCTTGGGCAAGTGCATGAAAAAATGTTAAACTGTTCTGAACAGGGCAGATACTTTTGGTCCTTAAAATGTCCATGTGTATAGAAAGACATGACTTTGAAGATTAGGCCTATAATTGAAAAAATACGGTTTCTTCCAAATTTTGTTTTTCAGCTTTATTCACAGTTGAAGCTCCCCAGTCACTCTACATTGTGGAACATGGAAACAATGTGACCATGGAATGCACATTTCCAGTGAATGGGGAGTTAAAGTTTAGAGATTTAAGTGTCAGCTGGGAAAAGAAAGATGAGTTAAAGAAGCAGATTTACGTACTTCTCAAAGGAGAGGAAGACTTCAGAAGTCAGCACAGTGACTTTAAGGGAAGAATAAGATTGTTGAAAGAGAATCTGAAACTGGGACAGTCTCTCCTTCAGATCACTGATGTGAAGCTCAGAGATGCAGGGTTTTACCAGTGTGTTGTTGGCTACGGGGGAGCTGACTACAAGACAATCAATCTGAAAGTAAAGGGTGAGTGTCCTACTGCAGGAGGTTCAATGCTACTGATAGGGTTAAAATATTTCAGAAGAATCCCTGAAGTAAGACAAGTCTGGCTTAGCATTAAGGAAACTTCGTCAGAGAAAGGAGACACTCCATAGCCCTTGTGCAGCTGTATAACTTTGTAGGTTTATCTCGATTGAATCCATATTCTGTGTAACTTGTGTTTCTGTCTAGGTTGAATCCATGTTCTGTCCTTTGTTTTCCGTAATGATATATGAGGAATGGTGTTGCAAAACCATTTAGACAGGACAAAGACCAGAAAGCTGATATGGTTTTCTAAACAGTGTTAAAATTGTAATATATCCTGTACCTCCAGTTACTATGGGGACACATAGTAGTGATATTTACTTTTCCTGTTGAGTATTATTTACAAAATCCAAGCTGATGTACAGAAAGTTGACCCAGGGGCTGAGGATAAAGAAAAGGTGAAAAGGTGTCTTGCTAACACATGCTGTTCTTCTAGCTTCCAAAAAGTAATCATTGCCTTCCATTTGTTTAGCTCCCTATAGGACTATAACCCGAAAAGTGGTGAGCACAGGAGACAACGAATGGAAGTTGACATGTCAGTCAGAAGGACACCCACAAGCTGAAGTGATATGGCAAAACAGAGAATACGAAGATTTGACTGACAAGGCAAACACGAGTTATGAAACTGGAAGTGACCAGCTGTATCGCGTGACAAGCACCCTTACCATCAAAAGCAGAATTGATGAGATTTTTTACTGTATATTCTGGAATAAAGAGCTGCAAGAAAATACATCTGCCATTTTACACATAACAGGTAACATTTCTAGATTTCATTTGTGGTAATACACTTCATATTATTTTGTCCCAGTTAAATCAGCCATGATTAGTTTCTCTGTCCTAATTTTCAAAGGCTAAAAAGAAATACCTATGTTATTAAGTTTTGCTACTAGTGTACACTTACACTATATTAACATGTTAATCATGAATGTGTGGAAAGAGTTCAGGGAGAGGAATTTTGCATGATCTACAGTTATGTGAAAATTGAGTCTGAATGTTAAAAAAAGTCTATTGTTTGAAAAGCATATAGCTTAGAGCCTTGAAACCTCCCATATAAATTAAACACCCCTTCCAAGAGCGTTCTGTTTTGCTGATAGCTCAAATTAATTTGAACAACATGGTCATTTCCTGCCACCACAACCTTTGTTTTGAACATACTTATGTTTCACAAACTGTGCATAGACTTTTCTTTCTTTTTTTTTTTTTCCCTCATAAAGTCTGGATTGAAGGAAGATGCATGAATGGAGATGACCAATAGAATTTCTCACCAGACTTTTAACTGGGCACCACCCCTACTGCTTTTGCTTTTGGTTACTCTTTTAATTTCTTCACTCTACCCTGATACACTTGCACAAGCTTTCAATCAGACAGGAAACCTGATCCAACTGCAAAACAGTTTTTCTTTTTATCAGACGGTAACTTGGTCCTTCATTTCCCTGGTCCTGTTCACATGAAGTTTTAAAGACGCCTCTGCTGGCACACTTTCTGGGACTGGCAAGGGGTGGAAACTGGCAGCTGACAGTGGGAAAGCCAAGTCACCCTTTCAATAAGCGGTGAGCAGGAAAGTTTGGTATTAACAAGAAATGCCTCTGGGATTCAAGGAGACCACTTACCCTTTGCATTAAGAGCTTTATCACATGAAAGAGACCCTCTGTTCTCTTTCTCAGTCAGCTCCTTCTTGCAGCACTGACAGGAAACTAAGCTGGATATAACATTTTGTACCTTGGTGACGTACAGGATTCTTAATGGGAATCAAAGGCACTATCAGATGGAATGCAGGAAACAAAGGTTAATATTAATATGTTCTGTTTTTATCTTGACTGGGATGAAATATGATCAAGTGTACCATCACATCTTACCTTAGACACAATCTAAAGTGTTGTTATCATGTCCAAATTGCTTATAGTAAAAATAATATGGTGAAAATAAAAGGAAAAGGGAGAAGTTTATGAAAGTATGTAATATCTTCCCCCACTTGTTTTTCTTGAAGATTCAGCTGATGCTGTTCTGTGGCCTGAGAGCAGACGGTTTGTTGGGGCATTTCTCATTGTGACTGCGTTCTCTGGATCAGTGCCTCTATTTATGCTCTGCATAAGAAAAGGTATTAAAATTATTCATTTATTGTACCTCAGCTGTCATAAATCTGTTCTGTTAATTTATCCTTGCAAAGGTGGGATGAGATAATACAAGTCTTCCTTAGATCTTCATCCTGAAAACACTAGACTTTTTTTTTACTTTTTTTTTTTTTTAACCACATTGTTTATTTCTTTATCATAGTTTGTTAAATACTATCAAATTAGCAGAGTGGATGAGGTTGTCACCTCCTCACAAACCACTTACTCATGCGTCTCTATTAATTTTTGTTATGAGTAATGATGTAGAATAAAATAAGATTAGTGTCTAGTCTATACAAACATCAAAGCATAGCTTATGCACATGCTGGAAATGGAATTTTCACACAATCATAGAATGGTTTGGGTTGGAAGGGACCTTAGAGATCATCTAGTTCCAACCCCCCTGACATAGGCAGGGACACCTTCCACTACACCAGGTTGCTTCAAGCCCCATCCAACCTCGCCTTGAACACGTCCAGGAATGAGGCATCCTCAACTTCTCTGGGCAACCTGTGCCAGTTTCTCACTGCCCTAATTGTGAAGAATGTTTTCCTAATGTCTAATCTAAACCTCCCCTCCACTACATGCTCTCTCCAGATTTCTTTAGGCCTCCTTTAGGTACTGGAACACTGCTCAAAGATCTCCCTGGAGCGTTTCCTTCTCCAGGCTGAACAAGCCCAGCTCTCTCATCCTGTCTCCATCGGAGAGATGCTCCAGCCCTCCGATCATCTTCATGGCCTCCTCTGGCCTCACTTGAGCAGGTCCACATCCCTCTTGCTTTAGGGACCCCAGAACTGTGCACAGCACTGCAGGTGGGGTCTCACGAGAGCAGAGTAGAGAGGGGAGAATCACCTTCTTCAATCTGTTGGTCACACTCCTTTTGATGGAGCAGGCAGGGCACTAGAGTGGCTTTTTTTTTTTTTTTGTGTTTTTTTTTTTTGTTTGGTTTTGTTTTTTCAAACTCATCTCCTGTCTTGGTGCTATGGAAATGTGTCCTGTGAAAAGTGCTCGTAAGCTTAACAGGCTTGCAAGTGATATTAGCAGGCTGCAGAAGGCCTGTAGATAACCCTGCATGTATAAGAATATACTTGTCCTAAGATAATGATAGGAATAGGACCAGAACATGAAAGTGGAAGAAAGGACAGCAAAATGACTTCTCAGAAGATTCCCACTGGGGATTTCAGTGAGGGTCAGAAGTTTCCTACATTGCTTGAGTAATATTTATTGTTGGTGTGTATACATACATATGTATATACATGTCATGATGTATATGATTATCATGGTTATGTTATATATCTGCGCATGTCAAATGACTAGTTGATTCAGAAGTCAAGTAGTAGCAACAGGTTTTTATTTTAAAACCCAGGCTGTCCTAT